ACTGAGATCCGTTCATTTTGTGGCTCACATTGGCACTTCTCCTTCCTTTATTTTCTTCTGGGAGCCTTCACAATTTTGGAATAAAACAGTATAATGGGAGCTTTGGCTGCAGCTTTTGCTTGCATGAAGGTATACATGTTGAAGTCGGTAGAGGAATGACAAGAGTATATGCCGGTTGCGTAAAGGAACCGCGCACATTGCGCCAACATGAAGTAGATTGTGAAACTGTTGTACAAACTCAAACTACACCTCATGGTGTGAAAGGGCCATCAGTTCTAATGCTGCTACCGGTCTTTGACATTACGTCTTCGTTTACATTTGATTATCTGCATACCGTTTTATTGGGAGTGTCAAAAACTTTTACGGATGCTTGGTTTAATTCATTAAATTATGAAAAAAAACTGATACATAGGAAACAAAGTAGACCTTATTGACGAGAAACTTCTGCAAATAAAACCACCGTGTGAGATTACTCGTACGCCTAGATCTATCAATGAAAGAAATCTATGGAAGGCATCAGAATGGAAGCATTTTTTGCTCTATTACTCCCTTACTTGTTTACAAAACGTAATGCTCTCACAATATGTGAAACACTGGTTCCTTTTCATCTTTAGTATGCACATATTTCTACAAGAAAAAATCAGTAACGAAGATTTTTTGATGGCTAAAAATGCATTGGAAATGTTCGTATTTAAAATAGAAAGCTTATATGGCTTAAAATATTACAAGTTTAATGTACATTTGTTGTTACATATCCCAAAGTTTGTTAAGCAGTTCGGGGCTCTGTGGGCTACATCTACCTTTCCTTATGAACACTATAATGGAGTACAAAGGAAAATGTTCCGGAATTCACAAGCCGTTCCGGAACAGATATGCAAATTATATATGAGATCAAAGCGCGTTGAAGGTTTATGTTCAGAGGTTTATGTTCAGAGGTGTTTTCAAGACCCGATTGTTTCGAAATGCAAAAATTTTATATGATAAAATGAGTGGAATGTATCATACGAAAAATTATCTGGAGTATGGACCATATTTCAAAATATTTGGAAAGACGGTTCAAAAGGTGTTAACATTAATGGAGCAGACTTGTATAGAAGCTCTTTTACATGAAAATATTCTAAACGAGACTGACTGTTACAAGCGTTTCATTTTTCGAAATGTGTTGTGGCATACCGAGAACTACGAAAAACTTCAAAGGCGACAAAACAGTACAGCATTACTGCAGAATGGTATGTTTATAGTAATATCCGGAATTATTAGTGTCCGTACTGTGCCAAACGATTATGTACGATACGTTATTATTGGAAAGATTCTTAATCGTATTGACGTGGAAATTTGTAAAACAAACAATCCATCACTTTCATCGAATCGTTTTTTTCACGTTACTCGCATGGCTGATTCTATCGTCGCTATTTTTCCTGACATGTTATATACCAAATGCGTAAAGATTCCATACGATAATGTAGATAAGTATTGCATTGTCAGCCTCGTAAATAATATTGAACGTGATTAATATATCAGTATTGTGTAACTGCAATTATTTAGCAAATAAATTGATATCACTTTTACATCAACTTTCTTTAGTTTCCTTTTATACCTTTAACACGATTTTGTAACGATGCACCGATTAAAATATACCATTTAGTACACATTACTTGCGTTTTCTCACTAGGGATACAATATACTCGTATGTATATCTAACAATATTAAGCAGTGATGATTAACAGTACACACAGAAAAAAATATATATACACTATTGAACGCTAGAAGAAATGCTCAACTGTATACACTATACAGAATGTGCATTATTAGTTGATTTAACATTGGAAACTTCTGCACACTATTAGTTTGAACTATTCAATGATTGGTATGACAGTAGTATATACTGTTAAATCTCTGTACTAGTGGTTATTTCAGTAGTACCTACTATTACAATCTAATAATTCATACTGGTCAATAGTTAATAATTGTGTAGTGGACACTAGTTATTACTAGTGTTACAGTAGTGTTGCAGTAGTGATTACTGCTTATAACTATTGGCGTTCAATAGTTACTATTATCATCCCAATAGTTACTATTAGTATTCCAATAGTTTTTTTCCGTACGGGTTGTTAATTTAAAGTCCAAAAAATATAACTTTAGGTGGCAATTTCTCATTCTTCATTTTTGATTTTCAAAATTTCGGCAGTGTAGTCAGATTCTACGATCCAAAATGCTTTAGTCTGCCAAGTTTCAATTGATTTGGTATAACATTGACCGTGTAATGGATTTTTGTCCCCTACGATCCCGATTTCGCCCACTGTGCTCCGCGCGGTACATCTCGGGTAACGCTAACACCGGCGGTTATAAACAATTAATATTTTTAACATGTTTAATTTACTTCACATAACACATAACTTCACTAACAATAAATGTCCAAAGTTGATTTTATTGTATTTTGAAAGTCGCATGTCGAGTTACTGTCTATTCAAGTAATTTTTCGCGTTTTTGTCCGCCATATTGGATCGGCTATATTAAATTTTGAAAATCTGATTTCAGATTCGAATTCAGCGACTTCGAAAATCAATATATTACAAAGATCGAACAGGTAAAAAAATATAGTTTCAGAAGGTGTTTCATGCGCAATGCCAAACGAGCGCGGCAATTTAGGGGTTGTTTACCCCCTAAATATTTATATTTAAAAAACAAAAAAATATATGTTCCTTAATTAGCTTTCCTCTTGAAGTTTTGATAGATTTTACTTCGATCAGATCAAAACTGATTTTTTGCAGCAAGAAATTGGTCACTTTAGGGGTATTTTGCCCTCTAATTTTCACTCCCTCTCCAACAACCTAGGCCGATTTTCGTCTTCTATCGAAAGATACTTTCATACCACAAATCATTAAAATCGCTTCACTGGTCTCGAAGACATCGCAATTTTTCCATTTTACCCCCATTTTTGGGAGGGGCGTTTCACCCCCTAAATATGTTTTTCCGCCCCTAAAAAAAAATACGTGTCCCTTAGTTTTTCATGTATTATAACATATCCACGTTTCAGAAAAGTCGGAGAGTGACACTTCCGTAGGTTTACTTGTTAGGTATATGAAACCTCCTCGTGGCAAGCCACCTTGTCGTGGTGAGGGGGCTTGTAGGCGAGCGTCTGTTTGGAAGCCGCTGTGTGCCGTTTTAGGCATCGGCGGTTTCGTTGACGGGCGCTCGCTGACTGACTAAGAGCTTGCCTTTCCCCCGTTCTTGGGGGAAAAATGGAGCCCGACGACTCCGGTCCTCGGCTGCCTCGATGGTTATGTCGAGGTAGTTCCGAGTCCACTCGTCGGTAGGGGATGAGGTACCCCGAGTGCAAACCTCCGGCCGCCGGGGCCGTAGGGGGGAGCATGCTCCTCCCGCCGGTTCGGGTAGTCCCCCTCCCGATTCCATTGCACGCCGGTGTTCCGGCAGGGATCGGGTGGAACCCGTCGAGGTGGTCGGGGGGGGGGGGGGGTGAGTCACTCGCCTCCCCGTCATCTTGCTGGCCTCGACTGCCATTGCACGTCGGTGCTCCGGCTGGCGGTCGGGGTGTCAGAAGGTGATAGACTTCCATCTCCCATTGCACGTCGGTGCAATTTCCTCCAATGGAGAAGGCGATGGAAGACGTTCGCAAGGTGATGGAGGGAGTCTCGAAAGGTGAACCCCGGGAAGTAAGGGCCAATCTGGCAAACCTGATAACGAGATGCCAAGGGGTTATGGCCCTGCTACCCGGGGATCAGAAAGCGGCCAAGGGACAAGGAGGTAAAGGGCTGCCCACCATTTCGAAGATCGCGGTGGTGAAGGGGAGATGAGGGCCAAAGGGAAGGAAGCCTTCAAAAAGGCTTTCCAACAGAAGGCTCAACCCCCAAAAGAACAAGAGGTGCACATGGCGGGCAAAAAACTGGAAGTAGTCCCTGGCACGTCATGGGCAGAGGTTGTTAAGAAGGGGAGGGGGAAGAAACCAACCTCCACACCTCCCCTAAAGACGCTTCTAAAGGAAAGGCGGCAGCCCAAAAGCCCCAAACAAAGGGGGGGAGAGGGCAATAAGAAGGAGCCGAAAGGGAAGCGAAAAGCTACTAACCAAAGAAGGGCCCCAAGATCGGCGGCGGTGGCGATTGCCTTCCCCAAGGGAGAGGCCGGGGAGGGCATGCGATTCATACGATCGCAGATGAAATTGGAGGAACTGGGAATTGACAACGTCAAGCCCAGAAAGGCGCTCACCGGGGCCATGTTGTTGGAGATCCCGGGAGGCGAGGAGGCCAAAGTGAAGGCGGATGCCCTCGCCAACAAAATAATGTCGGTCGTGAAAGGCAGGGGCATCAAGGTGATGCGCCCTGCCAAAATGGCCGAGCTGAAGCTAAGGGATCTCGACGAATCCGTGTCCCAAGAAGAGATCCAAGCGGCCATCGCTAAGGCGGGAAGGTGCCCGCTAGAGGACGTCAAGGTGGGCCGCATCAGGACAACCCCCAGCGGGCTTGGATCCACATGGATCCAATACCGGCTGGAGGTAGCGAGGAAGTTGGCAGCCACCAAAAAAGTCAAGATCGGCTGGGTGGCTGCCAGGATCGAGCTGTTGGAGGCCCGGCCCCTGACATGTTTTAGGTGTCTAGAGCGGGGGCACGTCCGCCAACAGTGTAAAAGCGCGGTGGACAGAAGCGCGGTGGACAGAAGCACGCTGTGCTACCGTTGCGGGCAGGAGGGCCATATGGCGCAGACCTGCACCGCGGTGCCGAAATGCGTTGTCTGCAGTGCCAAGGGACTCCCCGCAAATCACAAAGCGGGGGGCACCGTGTGCCGTCTCCCCTCAAAGAGGGAAAGGAAGAGGACGGCCAAATTGGCCAAAGAAAAAGCAAGGGACCAGCAACAGCCGAGGTCCCCATGGAGGTGCAGGAGGCTGCTGAACCCGTGAAAACGGATGCAGCACCCTCCGCACGGGTAGCCAAACAGGCAACGCAAGGAGGCAGCGGTCGGGAGGAGACCGGGAAGTCGGCGCCTTCATGGCCCTAAAGATTTTGCAAGCAAATCTCAACCATGCCCGCCAGGCCCAGGACTTGTTCCTGCACAGCCTGGCGGAGCGTGGTTGCGGACTGGGGATCGTGGCCGAGCCGTACAGAATTCCGATTCACCCTTGCTGCTGGGTGGGAAGCAGGGACGGCTCGGCCGCGATCACGTGGAGGAGGACCGGTGAAAGGAGCGCGCCAGGGTCCAAAATCAGGGCGGGAGAGAACTGGGTGGCAATGGAGTGGGGGCCCCTTAAAGTCATAGGGGTATACCTCAGGCCCAGCCTCTCCAGGGCGGAATTTGAGGACAGCCTGCAAGACCTGGAGAACGTCGTCAGGGGGTTCCTCCCCGGACCGGTAATGGTCGCCGGGGACTTCAACGCCAAGTCGGCGTTGTGGGGTTCCCGGCGGCCGGACGTCAAGGGAGCGGAGATGGTGGCCTGGGCGGCCCGCTTAGGTCACCACCTCGAGAACGTAGGTGCAACCAGCACATGCGTTCGACCGCAGGGGGAGTCGATAGTCGATCTGACTTGGACTTCCCTTGTGGCAGCAAGGATGGTAGCTTCGTGGGAGGTGGCTGAGAGTCTTGAACTTCTCTCAGACCACCTCCCCATTGAAATCCGGCTCTTGCAGGAGAGGAGGGACAGGGCCCAGGAGCGCCCCATAAGGTGGACGGCCAGGAAGCTGGACCAGGACAGACTGGTAGAGTCCCTGGTCGCGGCGACCTGGTCTAAGCCTGACCCACTGCGGACAATCGAGGAAGAGGTGGACTGGCTGCAGAGGAGCATGACCGCGGCGTGCGACAACGCCATGCCGCGCTACAGGTTCGCCCCGAGGAGGGCAGCCTACTGGTGGTCGGGGGAGATTGCCGAGTTGAGGCGCTCCTCAGTGGCCGCCAGGAGGACTGTCCTAAGGGCAAGGCGGAGGCGGAACACTTCCGGGGAGGAGCTTGACCGTCCTGGTGGAGAACCGGCAAAAGCGGCAAGAGCTCAAGTCGGCAATCCGGAGGGCCAAGGAGGCAGCATGGGACGAGTTGATCCGGTCCCTAGACACAGACCCGTGGGGGCGCCCCTATAAGCTTGTAATGAACAAGCTGAGCACTGGGGCGCTCCCCGCGGTTGAAACTCTGCAACCGGACTTCCTCGACGAGGTGGTGGAGACCCTCTTTCCGGCGGGGGACCCGGATAGAGCCCTCTCGAGAGAGGTAGCAATGGGGGAGGAGCACCAACCTTGGGAAGAGGAGCTGAGCGTCAGCGGAGCGGAATTGGTCCGCGCCGCGAAAAAGCTCAAGGCGGGTAAGGCACCTGGGCCAGATGGAATACCCGGCGTGGCCTGGAAAGCAGCCCTGGGGGAGCTCTCCGGAAGGTTGGAGGGTTTGTTTACCCTCTGCCTGAAAGAGGGCATCTTCCCGGGGCTGTGGAAAAGGTCAAGCTTGGTGCTTCTCCCCAAAGAAGGGAAGCCAACGGATACACCCGCTGGCTATAGGCCCATTTGCCTAATCAACGAAGTGGGCAAGCTATTTGAGAGGGTGATAGCAGCACGTCTCATGGCCCACGTAGAACATGCGGGGCCGGGGCTTTCAGAGCGGCAATTTGGTTTCCGAGAGGGGCGCTTTACGATCGACGCAATTAAATGCGTCCGCGCCCTCTCGGGCCAGATAACGGGGGATGAAGGAGTGGTGCTTGGCGGTCGCGCTTGACATCGCGAACGCCTTCAACTCCATCCCCCACGAGGAGATCAAAGCCGCCCTGAGGGAGCTTGAAGTGCCGGGGTATCTGGGTAGAATAATCGCGAACTACCTGGATGGAAGGGCGATTACCTGCCTAGACAGGGAGGGAAAGCCCCGAGCATGGAGAGCGAACTGCGGTGTCCCGCAGGGGTCGGTCCTGGGACCACTCCTGTGGGACATTGCATATGACGTGCTGCGTGTTGCACTCCTCGCCGGCAGCACCCTGGTGTGTTATGCGGACGACACACTGGTGCTGGCCGGTGGGGAAAACTGGAAAGAGGCGAAGGAAGTCGCCAATGTGGCGGTGGCCTGCGTGGTGCGGGCCATCAGTGCGCTGGGTCTACGGGTGGCGGCCAAGAAGACCGAGGCGGTCTTTTTTCATGACGGATCCGTCGGTCCGCCGCCCGAGACGCAGATCACGGTGGACGGAGTAAACATCAAGGAGGGGGCCCAGATAAAGTATCTGGGCCTCCACATAGACGGAACCTGGAAGTTCGAGGAGCACTTCGCGAGACTGGCGCCCAGGTTGGACAAGGTAGGTAACGCGTTATCACGTTTAATGCCCAACCTGGGCGGGCCGCGTGGGAGGACGAGACGTCTCTTCGCAAACGTCATGACGTCCATGGCCATGTACGGTGCCCCCGTGTGGGCAGAGGCCCTTCGGAAGAGCAAGAAGGCCACGGCCGGTTAAGAAAGGCCCAACGGCGGATGGCCATCAGGGCCATAAGCGGGTACCGTACGGTATCCCACGCGGCGGCCACGCTGCTGGCCGGGATGCCCCCACTCGAGCTGGTGGCGGCCGCGTATGCGGAAGCATACCGGCGCACCAGAGAGCTGAGGGACCAGGGTATTCCGGTCACAGCGGGAACGCGGAGGCTCCTCGGGCTTCAGGCGAAGAGGGCGACGAGGGAGGAATGGCGCGTGTGGCTCACAGAGCCTAGTATTTCCGGCAAGCGCACGGTAAACGCCATCCTCCCTCGTCTCGACGACTGGCCGGATCGTCAGTGGGCCAGGTCGTCCTTTAGGACGACGCAGGTACTCACCGGGCATGGGTGCTTCGGTGAGTACCTGCACAGGATAGGGTGCGAGCCGGACGCGCGGTGCCACCACTGTGGAGGCAATGGGGCTCGGCGCAACACACCCTAGAGGTGTGCCCGGAATGGGCGGATCAGCGCCGAGTCCTCACCGATAAAATCGGGCGGGATCTTACGCCCCGAGCCGTCGTGGAGGCGGTGATAGACGAGGAGGAAAATTGGGATGCGTTCTCCTCCTTCTGTGAGCACGTTCTACAGAAGGAGGAGGCGGAGCGGATTAGGAGGGGTGAGGCAAACCCTCCAGGTAATTCGCAGCGAGGAAGAGCGGGAGCCGCGCCAGGACGACAGAGAGGGAGAGGTGAGCGACGACCGCTGGCCCATCTAAGGGCCTGGTGATAGAGAGGAAAGTGACAGACCGTTAAGGTTAGCCACGCCTTTCGCAAAACATAGGAAAGACCGGCCATCACACGCAGGCTGGCAGACACCGCTAAGGTGCATGGAGGGATGATCCCATTTTTTCAAGCGTACGGGTGCCGCTATCGAATAGCCCCGGGGTAGCCCCTGCCTGTCGTAAAAGGCGACTAAAAAGGGAGGAGGAGAAGAAGGAAGGAAGTGGGATCAAGTTAGGGTGGGTCAAGGGCTGGAGACCCTTGGCTCACCCGCCCCTAATAGACATCCAGGGGGCGCGGCGGGAGGCCTGGTGGCACCCCCGCCGCATATCCAGAGGAAAGAGGAGAAAGGCCCTTATCAGGGCCAAGCGGGAGTTTAAGTACCGCGAGATGGGCGCGAAGTCACGCGCGGCGCGGGGCCACCCGGAAGTAATGCAGTTCCTGGGTGGCTCCAGAAAGCGCAGAGAAGTCCACCCCCGGTGGTTTTAGTGCGGTAGGCGTCTCCGTTGCACTACTGGCCCCCCTTGGGTTGTCAATTGCCCAGGGGCCAGGGAGACGAGTCCCACACACCATCCCCTCCCGTCCCAGCGGGAGCGGGGTGACGGCCCATGAGGGTTTCCACCGGGTAAACAAAGAAAAAGGTATATGAAAAAAGTTCCAAAAGATACCAAGAAACTGCTGGTTGGAAAGTATAGAGGGAACCTCCCTTAACAAAACCAGTACATTGTTGTTTGCTCCTTTTTGCTCCTTTTTGAGAAAAACGAATTTTTCTATAAAGTCAACCCGACTTCGATCAGATACCAGATGCATAGCAAAATCTGGGCATAGAACTCTAAACGTAACAAACCCACGTGTTCCCGTTCAATTTTCAACTTAACGTTAATATTTTTATTGCATTTTTATTATTTTTTATTAACTTATTAATTGTTTATGTAATTTTTTATTTATTATAACTTTATTTCCGTAATTTTTTATTTTTTATTACTTTAAGTTATCATATTTGTATTATTATAGTGTTATATAATTATTATTAATATATTATACAGTGTCCTATTTTAATTAAAGCTTCCAATTTCTAGAAATCACGAGGTTTTAGAAGAAAATATTTCTTACAAAAGCTTTATGACTTCAAGGGGGACATAAGATGGTGCTATAGGTTTGACCTTGGATAGATATTTGAAGGTCACCTTTAATTTCTTACATAAAACCTCCCATTTTTATTGCGTATTCTTGTAGGTTAGCTGGAGACCTTTTCAAAACACTAATAAAGCATTTTCCCATTAAATACATTTCAAGTTATGAAGCTTGAAAATTACAGTACCGCCAGTATTTGTATTATCCAAGGTGTACCGCGTGGAGGTTGCCTGGTCGGATTTACACCTCTTTTGTATGTGTGCGTGCGTGCGTGCGTGCGTGCGCGTGTGTGTGTGTGTGTCACAGCAGAGATAAGGACCCCACGGTTTGTCACTCCCGTAGTATTTTTTGACTCCAAACCCTCTCTGCTGTGTATGTGGGTGTGTGTTCGCACTCGCACTTGGATGGTGACGCGATTCGTCACTTAATCTCTTGAGTCACTGTCAGTATCAAGTTCCATGGAAATATCGCTATTTCCAGAGGATACTAACAAATCAGTTGCTTCAGGGAAGAGTTTTTCTTTAGATTTAGATGACTTTCGCCGCAGCGATGTTATATAAGGGTCAGAACTCACAAGCAAGTACTGCACGATATCTTCATTCGTCACGTGACGACTTGACTTTCTTGTGTGTTGTTCACGGGTTTTCCTAAAATCCTTATTACGCGCTTCTGCAGCCTCTTCTGATAATTGGCCGATAGACAGCAAAGCATGTTCAATAATAGCAGAACCATGTAGAAGGATTTTATGGATTGATACTGACATAAAGTACCAACCATATAAGTCGACAAATAATGAAGCTGTTTCTTTGGCAAAAATATCAAATTTTCTAGGTTCAATTTGTTCACCTGACGCAATAGCCTGTAAAATGATGGCACATCTCCTGATCAAGGAAGCGTCTAAACCGATAATTTCTGCTGTTTTTTCCGGATTTTCAAAAAACTTCCTGGCAGTATTCCCATCATTAGTGTTTCCCGATCCCTCTTTAACTACGTCTACTAATATTCCCAATTCACTTCTTAATCGTCCTTGTATGTTTTTCTTTCTTGTCAATTTGCTTGCTTTGTTCTCAGGTGTTCACGCTGACCACTTTTTAAAATCAAGATTGTATGCTACATGCAATAAGAATTCCAACGAACGTATCCATGCATGGAGACTCGACAATCCATATTTCAGATGCTCTTCTTTAACGATCTTACTCGCTACTCTTTGTAGATCGTTCATTTCGGAAGGTTTAGCTCCACAAATATAGCATGTTGCAAAAGATGTATCCGAAAGAGTTGAGCAGATTTTTCCATCAATCATCGTAAACAGTAAATTGATGCTCTACCGTCATATTTTGAATCTTAGTTGGTATTAATTTATCAATTTCTTTTTGCATCCTATCCTTTTCAGTATGTGTTATTTCTGCCGTTTCTTTTGCAAATTCAAATCTAATCGGTCGACAGTACCAAGGTGACGATGGTTGTTTATTTTGCCAAATGATTGTCGAGTCATTAAACAATTTGAGTGGTACAATGCTGGTCATAAAAATACTTGAATCTGGCTTTTCTTGGAAACTACTAGTTGCAACAGGTTGTTTGTATAAACTTTGATTAGATACACCATCAAAACCCCATTTATAGATGCATTTTAAAGTGCCCGATTCATCATTGTTTTTTCCACAAGCTTTAAATATTTTAAATAGCTTTAAATGAGCTAAAATATTCTCTGAACAGTTAAATCCAGAAGAGATTGTAACATTATACACGCTGAAACGTCTGTAATTATAATATCACATTTTGCAGGATAACATTCTTCTTTTGCAAGTTTTATTTGATAATAAGAGGGATAAATATTTATAGCCTCTTCAGCTGAAACTTCTCGTAATAAAAGGTATTTAGATTTTGATAAATTTAGGGAAATAAACATAGCCAAAGCCTTATCTCTAGACATTTGTTTTGAAACTGTGCATTTATTTTCACAAAACTCTCTCACTTTTTTAATACAAGTGGGATTCTTTTCTAAATAGTCCAAAATTTTACACAAATCAGTATTTTTTTCGGCGTAAGCCTTTGATTTTGTAGCGTACAATAATTCCTGGCTTTCTGTTTCTTTTAAGGCTTCTGTTCTTCTTCTTTTTTGTCTATCAGATAGTTTTGCCCACTCTTTGCGAGATGTTTTGGAAGAAGACGAAGTTGATGGTGACGAAGAAGTAGATGTTGGTAAAAAGCATAATTCTTTATTTAACCAACTATCATGGTTTTGAAGAAAACGATCGATAATACGAGAAGATTTCTCCCATCTATTAGTTAGATGCATACAAAATATTTTTAATTTTGACTTCAGATTTTTTTCTTTATTTTCGTCAAGATTGGAAATATAAAATAGATTTTTTTTAGAACAAATTCCCAAACTTTTGTAAAATCTCTGAAGTTTATGTTAGATTCCCTGAAAATGGAGAATAAATCACGATTTGTTAACATACTCATTGTGATATAAATGAATTGACGTTAAAGAATAAAACTGACTGCAATTTTTATTAAGGATGCGCGAATGTATAGAACTTCAGAAACAACCGACCGTAAGACTTAAGTAGAGGTGTCAAATGGAGAACGCGAGAACCGAAAGCCGCGTGTATGCGGGAAGTGCGCAGGACGTGAGGACCGCGGCGCTGCGCGGCGCGGCTGCACCATATATACATACAGTACTCCTATATTGCTACCTCAGTAGGAAGACCGAGCGAGGGCATTGGGGTGCAGACGATGCTTTCTCGCTCGCACGGTTGGTCCGTTTTGGCACTTTTGCGCATGCGCCAAATATATATATGTCATGCCTGGACCGTCTGGACATAGAAGCATGCCATATGTACATATATTTGACGCATGCAC